GGGTGATGCTCTCCTCCCCGGGGACCCCCATGGCCGCTGCCGGGTCTCTGCCCGTTCCCGGGGTCCGCTCCCGCCTCGGCATGGCCCCATCGCTCCCAGCCCAGTGCAAGAGCCGGCAGCCGCCGAGCCTGGTCAAAGCGCCGTTTCAGATGACTGTCTCTTTTTATCATTTTTTTTTTTTCCTTTCTCCATGATGATTTGCATTTTACTTTTTTTTTTTTTCTTCTTCCAAAAAGGATTCCTTCTATGCAGCTGGGTAATACAACCATGAAGCTATAAAAACGACGACAACAAAAATATAGATATTTTTATAAATATATGAATCCCTGCAGGCAACGTGGCTTTTCAGCTCCACCAAAAAGGTTCATGTACAGATTGCATAAGCAAAGAATTTCTACATTCTTTACACCTTTTTTTTGTTTGTGTTTTTTTTTAAAAAAAGGAAGATTTTTTTTTCCTCTTCTTCGTATTGCAGGCACAGAACGGCTACTCTGGCACTCGAAATGCAAGCGCGGAGGCTGGGAGGTCAGGGCCCCCCAGGTTCAACATTCTGCTTAGTAAAAAAAAAACCAAAAAAAAGAAAAATAAACCAAAAAAAAATCATATATGATAGATCATCTTGGCAATAGATTAGCTCCTTCAGGCCAAACAGTGCTTCTTGACTTTTTATACAGCAAACAGGAAAAAAAAAGAAAAAACACCCAAAAAACAAAAAAAAAAGTTTGTTTTTTTTTTTTTACCCTGAACAGCTTGACAACACCACAAATCGCCGGGCACCACCACGCAGTTCCACTGGAAGATCCTTCACTACGGTTTCATTCTCGGCGCCCCACCCTCGCGCCTCCGTGGGCACGCTGCCCACCTGTCCATCTGTCCGTCCGTCCGTCCGCCTGGGGTGCCCTCACGTCCGGATGACACCGTTGCAGGGGGGGTGCTTGGGCAGACAGGGCTCGTCGGGCAGCAGGTCATGTGCAAAGACCGAGTCGTCCCCCGAGGAGCAGGTGCTGTGGGTGTCCTGGCCGGCCGGCGAGTACTGCTCGAAGGGCACCGAGAGGTCCAGGTACTCCTGCCAGGGTGACAGACCCATCAATGCTGTGTGCCCCCCGCTGGGGACCGAGGGACCCCTCCCCGCACCCACTCTACCACACTCACATCGGTGGACGTCACGGTGAGGACCCTGTCCAGGTCTTCCACCAGCTGCTTGAAGGTGGGCCGCTGCGATGGGACGGCGTGCCAGCACTCCCGCATGATCATGTACCTGCATGAGACGGGAGAGGGGACTGTCACCCATGGTGGGTCTAAGCGGCGCCCACCCACCTGCCCACCATCCCCAAATAGCCTGAGAGAACAGCTATGGCCAACGCAACTTCAGCCATGGTGGCCTTGGCGCGTGGCCAGCTTGGGGGAGGAGGAAGAGGGTTTTGTGGAGCCATACTCCTCACTATTGACCTCCTCATGCGTGTCCGTGCTCTCGAAGCAGGAAGAGGCATGGTCCTAAAGATGACACACCAGAGCTGCACCCCCAACCGCAACCCGCCAAACAAGTCATGGGCTGAGCTGAAATGTGTTGGGGTGGGAATGGGCAGAGACCCGCTGCCAGATCCACAATCTCACGGTGGGGATGTCCCACCGGCCTGAGCCATGGCCTGGGGTGGCATTTGGCCGCAGAGGGAAGGGGGAGCGGGGCGAGGAGGTCACCCCCCACCCCACACTCACAAATCATGGGTGCAGTTTGCAGGTTTGTCCATCCGATGGCCTTCCTTCAAGAGTTTGAAGAGTTCCTCAACGGGAATTCCCGGGTATGGAGACCCTCCCAAAGTGAAGATCTCCCATAGTAGCACTCCAAAAGACCAGCTGGAAACCAAAGAAAGATCTTTAAAATTCAATGAGGTTTTTTTCCAAGGCGCCCCCATATCCCCTCCCCCCCGCTCGGCTTTATTTCTGTGCAGCCATGCATAGCTAACAAAGTCATCAATAGCATGACTAATTGCCTAGGCCATTTTTACTAGTTACTTGGAGATCTCTGCTGATCCAACTCAATAGCAAAGAAATCCCAGGCACCAAGTCTGAAATTGAAATGAGCATTTAATCAGATAGGTGACAGCCCATCTATTACCCCCAGCTCTTTGTTAGGTCTTCCACCAGCTCCACTGAATGGAACAAATCAAATTATTCATGCACAGCTTCACTGAATTGCAGGCTTGGAACCACAGGCCACTAATTGTGCAAGCTGATACCAAAACTTGCTTGTTACAACACTCATTTCGCTGGCCAAGCTGGGAGAAAAATACCCCAACAAAAATCAGCGGAGCACTAATGTTACACACTCCACTCCCGCAGCTGTGCTCTGGTTAAAAGTCCTCTTTTTCAAAAATATCTTTTGCCTTCTTCATTTTCTTTTTAAAAACAGGGATTATCTGTCTCTGTTTCGCTTTCACGGACGCTCGCTCTCCCGTTCTCTAGCTTTGATTTATCTGTCATGCCCGCTGCAGCATTACCTAAGCATGGAAACTATGATTTTAGATCAATAAAAGCCAAAGTATGTGAAAAATACAGAAATAGAAAGATTCATTTGTCCAATTGCAAGCAGCGAACCTTGAAGAACAGGCAGGCTGGCTGCTGAATTACTGTAAAAATGCCATTACCGACCAAATATTGAAATAAAAAAGCCAGTGTGCATGCTGAGCTACTTCAGTTCTTGCAAAGTTCAGATGTGATACAGATTTACACATAAGGTGGGCTCTGCTGGTTGCTTACTGTGCAGAGGCACCAAAACAGACAAGACAGTGTTAAGAAAAATAAAGGCAAATAAATGATGCGGCAAAATTAATCGGAGAATATATTTGTTGCATATTCTCTGATCAACTCTACCAACGGCGGACAGAATATTTCAAGCTCATCCCACGTACTCAGACGAAGCGTAACTGTGTGGGACAAAGCGTGGAGGAAGCTGAGGGTAGTAATTTTTTGGCATGGAGTTTTTTTTGCACAAATTTTTTTGACTGCAGGATGAATCTCCTCATCTATAAACTGGACAAGAAATACCTGCCTGCCTTCCAATAATTTTTCAGCAGCTCACTAGACATCCTCGGATGAAAGCAACTAGATAACGGTAAAATAAAACCACTTGGGCAAAGCTGCAGCTTGGAATCGATTCATTTGCTTTTGCATCCCCCCAGGCAGCCCAGCAGTGAACGAGCCCTGCTCGTGCTTAGCAGTACGTTTGTCTTTAAGATACTATAGGTGTTGATTTCCCTGTCATTTTATTCTTTTTGAAAAGTGCGAGTATGCTTACACATCGCTCTGGTGAGTATAGACCCGGTCAAACAAGGCTTCTGGAGCCATCCATTTCACAGGCAGCCGACCCTGTAATTAGGAAGACAATGGGAACATCCCATCAGCATATTCCCCCAGCCACAACGGCACCATCTGAATCTTCTTTTCTAATCCAGTTTGAAACATTTTCATTAAGAACCACATCTGCCTTCCCGGTCACTGGGCAAAGCAGTAGTGGCCACATATAAACAGATTAGAGCATTTGATCCCTGGATCTTTGCTGACAATCTTTGCAGTAAATGCTCTCTATAGAGGACTGTATTTCACTGCCAAGGCAGGTTTAACATATCAGAGCATCTAAATCTTTGCATGGGAACAGCATCCATTGCTCATAAATGCAGCGAGCTCTGCAGCAGAGCATGGGACACCACTTTCCATCTCTTCAGCTGGAAGAAGCAGTTTGACTCCAAGTCCAAACCCTGCTTAGGTTGAACCTGAAGGGAAACTTCCAAGACTGAAGGCAAGGGCTGGATCCTCTAAGAATCAAATCCTGATCCCGCTGGAGGCTAAAGGAGGAGGTTTGATCCCAGGTTTCCAGGGGAACATCCTACATCAGGGTCATAAATATGGGCTGTCACATGTGAGAAATAAAGACTAGATTAATCATAATTCTTTTGGGCTTTGCTTGGCCTCTGGAGGGAGTCAGAAAGGACTGTTTCATGCCTGAGGCATAATTTGGCTATGGGAGGGCTTTGTCCTCTTCTAACCCACCGTCTCACTGCGGGAGACAACTAGAGATGGGACATAGGCAGGATGCACAAATGGGATTATGCTCTCAGCTGTCCAACACAGCTCAAACAGGGAAAATCCATCTGACCTACGATTAAAATTCCCAAGAATTTTTATTAATTTATGATTAAGAAATCCCGCCAATTAAGAAAGATTTCTGATATGATATTGGAAAGGCTCAGTATGGGCATAGTGGGCTTCGCAGGACTGCCTGGACATTTAGACCCCTCGCAGTTGCAAGGCCCTCAGGTTCCGCAATACCCTCAACCCCTTCCGCTGCCATCTCTGTACTCTGTGTAGTTGCGGCTTTTGCTCGGAGCGCAACATCTGCTCTAGGGCTCTGAACCAAGACATAGGTCTTCTCTCCAGCCCTTCATTCGTAAATTCATCTCTACAGAAAATATAAACGACTCCGGGACTCAGCCCTTGTCTGGGACCATCTTCTCACCCTTGGCAGTGGAGCCAAGGAGCTCAGTTGTAAAAAGGAGAGAGAAATGCCTGAAAGCCAGGTAGCTCCAGGTATACAAAAAGTGACATTCCTCTGTCAAGCGCTGTGGTGGGACAGAAGTTGGCTCCTTGGGACCTTTATGAACAGCAGTGGAGCAGACTGGAAAGGGCTCCGTTCCACTTTTGTAAAAACCTTGGTTTCTCTTAGCCTAGAGCCTCCTGGCCAGAACCATGACCTCTCAACCGGCTGCTAGCACCAGCAGTATCTGTCAGGATGGCGGGTGGACTCCTGGGGCCATCCTACCTACAGCCCCTCACGGGGTGAGGCCACCGGCAGATTTCTTCCTCCTAAGCCTCTCTGGAAAGGGAGATGTGGGACAAGGGCCACTTGCGGCAGGGATGGCCGAATTCCCTGCCAGAAGGAGAACTGCACGTGCTTGGCAGCTCTGTACTTACATTGGTGGTCTTCTTGTAATAGTCGATGTTGTGAACGTCTCTAGCAAGGCCAAAATCAGCTATTTTCATCACATTGTCTTCAGTGACTAACACGTTCCTGGCTGCCAAGTCACGATGAATGCACTGTGAAAGGTGAGCAAGTCAATAAATAAGGGCTTGTTAGCTGCCTGCGCCTGGAACCAACAGCACCGTGTGGTTTATAAGCTGCCGTTTCATTGACTCCCAAGCTCATAAAGCTGTGGGCACTGCTTAACTCCTCGCTTTCTGTGTCACTGCCCCATCATGCATGCTCGGTGGGAGCCACCTCTTAGCAACACCTAATCGGCAGCCTCAGCGCTGACACAGCCACGCGTCTTTTCTCTCCAAAGGGGATGCACAGATGGGAAAGCCAACCCTCCTCTTCTGTGGGCGCCTACTGGGACGTGAAGCTGTCTTTCTGCCCTGCTTCCTCCAGGAAGAGGAGGGCCGGCTGACGTTTGAAAGAAAAAAAATCCTCAAATTAAAATATCCCCAATGCATCCAAAATAGATAGAATCATACAATGGTTTGGGTTGGAAAGGTCCTTTAAAGGTCATCTAGTCCAACCCCCAACACCATAGCTGTTAGCTGAGAGAGAAGCTAAATTAGCCCGCACTGTGCAGAAAGGGAGTTTAAAGCCACCATGAACCATCCACCCTGAACTGCAGTCACAGGACGAACACATCTGACATCCGAGGCTGAACTTGCACTTGCCGTAGTGCTCCTTGCCCGCAAAAAGAAGTCACTCTGGCTGGTGCCCAGCTTCCTGAACCCAAAGCCCAGTTCTCCACTTGCTGATGTCAGGGTAAATCAGGAGTAATCCCATGATGTAAGCAAATGCAGCAGCCAGCTCAACGCCAGCAAAGTGCTCCCCAGGGAGCATCCTGGGCATAGCCATGCATCGAGCCAAATCCACCGCCAGCTCCACTCCTCACCGAGCTGGTGACAGCCGCAAACACGTGAGCTACGCCCAGGATCTCAGCTTCCTTGTAGGTGCTCTGCATCTTCAGCGATCTCAGGAGGGAGATGAGGGGGACAGGGGTGCACGCAGCTCCTGACTGTTGTCTAAAGTAACGTCTCCCATGGTGGAAGCTCACAACTTGGTGTGATGCTCACCCTGAGCATTGCTGCCCGAGCCTCAGGATCGCACATCTGAAAGCCAGCTACCTCTCCGAGTGGTAGAGGCTGAATTGCTGAGGAATTGCACCAAGGTCTCGTGCAGTTGTGCTTTTGTATGCGTTTTGGGGATGCTAACAGGCCTGCAGGTGACAGCGAGGGCTGTGCAGCTGCGTGGCTTGTGGATGCAGCCAGAATATGGGAAGCTTCTGCTGAAGCCTTCTGCAAAAAACCCAAGATGCTTCATACTGAAAAATCTGGTCTCTAGAGGGAGAAGCCTGCAATGCTTTGCCTGAGTTGTTCTACACACCCACAGAGCGCTGCATGCCTTTGAACACGGGTCTGACCGACACTTCTACCAAATGAGGTTTCTCAACTCACTTTCTGAGATGCCAAGTACTCCATGCCACGGGCCACCTGGTAGGCGCAGGAAACCAGGTCTTTAAATGTCAACTGCTCCTCTGGCAGCTTGCAGGTGTCAAAGGAATAGTCCATGCCAGGTGGGCGACGTGCCCTGAGGTATTCCCGCAAGTTCCCCTTTGACGCGTATTCCACCAACACGTAGAGCGGTCCTGCAAGCAAGAGCACCATCAGCATCCAGCGGAGGAACAGCATGTGCTGCCTGGGGGCTAGGCTGACCACCAAAATCTCATCTGGGACATTTTGGGCAGCCAGTGAGTAATTACACAGAAGGGACAGTCAAACCTGAGCCTCCCACGGCCCTGCGAGCACCGGGCTGCTTTGCTACGTACCATCCTGCGTGCAGGCACCAAGGAGGTTAATAATGTTTTTGTGCTTCCCAATCATTTTCATCATTTCCATCTCAGAGACCAGGTCGGAAAGGTCCTTGTCTGTGGCATCGTCTGGAGAAAACAAGAGAGGAAAGCAAAAAACATGTCAGGAAGAAAATAAGTGTTTTCTGAAGTAGTTAATACAACTGCTGTGTAGCCATGTGGGACTTTGATAGGGAAACAGTACTCAAAATACGGCAGTGTTTGTTTTTATTCTACTTTGGGAAGAAGAATCAAAATAAAAACAAAAAATACTGTCTCAAAAAAAAGAGTATTTGTTCAAGAAGAAAAAACAAATAGATGAAGAGAAATGTTCATATGGAAATCAATAAAACCTTTCCTCTTCTGCTTCATCCTGATAAGCATTAAAGAAAAAAAGTCAGTTTTGGTACCTGGCACCATTTTCCATTTTTGGTTGTTTCCCTCCCTCATCTCCAGGGGCAAAGAGTTAAGGATGGGGGAAAGTCAGAGCTGGGAGAGGGATTAGAGGAAGGAACGTATTTTTTGCATGGAAAGCTGTAATTTTTCTATAAAAGTAGAAAAACTCCCCCCCATTTTCTACAAAAGTAGAAAAATGGGGGGAAACCTCCCCAAATGAATGCTTTGGTTTGGAAAGATGGAAATATTCCTGCTTCCAAAAACAACTTGAGAATGGACTGAAGGAAATGTAAATTAAAAGAATCCTCTTCTGATAAGAAATATTATTTTTTTAAAGATGTCACCCCATGTAACCTCAAACCCGCGCTGCTCACTGTTGGAGCACCGCCCTGCTTGCTCCAGCTGAACTCCTCAGGGTGATTCTGTCTGTGTGTTGTCGGTGGTTAGTGTGCGCGGGGGAAGGATGGGAAACAGAGACTCATCCAAAGGGCCCCAGCGACTCCCCCATTTTTGACCTCCCTTTAAGCTCTCAGGAGTTTGGGATCGAGTTTCTTCAATGAAGAAACTCCTCAAGGAGTTTGTCAACCAAATTTCTGCAAATTCCACCTAAGCCTGATGCGTAAGCTTTTGCTAGAACAGGCAGCGCTGGTTACGGGAGGAGTAAGGAGTGGGCTGATTCACGGAGCTGGCTGGAAGTGAAGGGGGTTTCCCTTCTTCTCAAGGATGATATTACCCCTTGGCAGAGAAATGGGTTAATTCCCATTCCCTCTTCCTGATGGGATTTGCACTTTTAGGTGCTCTCCAAGGAGACAGCCCTCACCCCCAGGCTATGCGGGTGAAGGGGAAGAAAGGCTGTTCTTGCTTTCTTCTATTGTATCTGTTTGTATAAAAGACTTAAAAGAGAGGGAACGAGAGGAAATCCCAGCGCAATATGCTGTTCTGCCCTCCGTGGACTCCCCATACCTTTTAACATCTTGACAGCCACTGTGATGGCCTTGTTTGGCTTGTCCTTATCAATCCCAATCGCTTCTGCCATCACCACTTGGCCAAAACACCCCTCGCCGAGTGGCTTCCCCAGGGTCAGGCTGGAGGGAGGAACAAGCAGGCACGTTAGTGGGTACCGGGGTGGTGACAGTCCCAGGAGGAAAGGGGACCCTGACCCGTGGGTTGACTGACCGAGAGCGTGCCAATTCCCACTTGGGATCAGGAGGCAGTTCCAGCTCAGAGACGTTGGCCAGCATCGGCCCGTCGCTGGAGGAGAGACGCGTGATCCGGACCAGGGGCGTGTTGGAATTCATGGAAGAGTTGGACTCCAACGACACCTGCTTGGGTAGAGCAAATGAAGTGTTATTGCCAACTGTATTCCTAGGAAAGGCAGTGCCTGAGATGGATCGCTGAGGGGGTTTGAGCCATCTTTGCCCGCTGACACCTTTCTGGTAATTTCTAAACGGGAAATCCCCCCACCCTCCACCTCTCCCCCCATCCTTGCAGAAATGCACCAGTGGTCAGGTTTTTAGCTGGTGGAAAGGAGGGACAGGGCAGCCAGTGCCCTCCAGCAGGCAGGAGGTATAATCTGTTCAGTTGCTCTGTGTGCATTTCCATAGCACTTACAGGCTATGGAGTGACTTCTCCTGTTCTGACCCTGTAAATGCCCACCTCGAGCTTGCAGCCAAAGCCGTGCAATCCGTATCCTTCACTATGTGGTTTTACATGGTGCCTTTTCCTCCTGCCCCTCTGCAATTACACGTGACAGAGCACCTCTAACTGCATGGAGAAAGAGGACCCTCTCCCACCTCCATGAGAATTGGTTTAAGTCACCAGTGACCTCTGTGAAAGCAGGACTGAGCACAATTAAACGTGCTCTTGCTCCCCAAATCCCTGCTCCACCAGAGAGCCTGGGCTGAACTGTTCCCCTGCGAGATGTGCTTTCTGGGGCATGCACAGTGCACTGCCAGCCCCTCTTGGACAAGGGCGACAGAAACGCGGGGAGCTGCTTGGGAGCTGCTCATGAACCAGAGTCAGCTGCCACCAGCTACCGCTCCACTGGAACAGAAACAAATGAATAAAAGGGGTTAAAGTCCTAGACTGCGGCCAACTTCTGTTGTTCTGCATGTCCTTCTGCAGCAATGTTTTTCTGGTAGAGCTTCTCACCTAGAGAGAAAATTTCAAGGAGGCGGGGAAAAAAAAAAAAGAGGGATGACCATAGGGGGGAATAGGAATCTTGTATCTACTTTCTGTTACCTGTCTCTTGAGCGGAAATTTGGAGACTTTCTGTACAGTGGGGGTGTTCATGGCTTTTTTGTTTGGCATTTTCATCCTGCAGATAATCACAATGACCAGCACGAGGATGAAGAGAACAAAGCCAGTGCCGTAACTGAGAATGCCAGCGTACACTGAGCCCGAATCATCCATTTCCATGAGCTCCTCTGCTGAGGGGTGACAAAAGACGGCAGTCAGGACGGGGCGGGCAGCTGCCCGCATGCAACTACACACACGCAGCACAAGGAATTTGGGGAGGATTTGCTCATCTACGCCAATTTTCTGAGTGACTTCAGTGAGGGGACCCTCCTAGGCCAGTGGTTTTCCACCTGCGGCTGTAGCTACAACATTAGTTCAGTTTGCCTTTTTCAGGGTAATTTTACTGCCCTTTGACGTAACTCCGGGGTTTCTAAGAGCCTTCAGCCCACAGGTTGAAAACCACTGCTCTAGGCTGAAGGCATCTTCATGTGTCTGTGCTGTCCCTCTGACCCAGATCTTGCTTTCCCCGCACACCCACACCACGTAGCTGGATGCCTCGGGTGCGCAAAGGCTGCAGGACGGGGGTTTGCTGCACTTTGCTGATTCGGCTTCTCCAGCAAAGATTTCCACCAGACCAGTGCCTGCCCTGAGGGACCAAGGGGCTCGAAGGGCACCCAGGGGTAAGGCATCACACAGGGAAAAAGCCTTATCAGAGCAATCTGCATAATTATTTCATGAAAACTTAGTTCTGCTGGGAAGAGGCTGGAAGGTCTGGCCCAGAGAGGCGGCTGAGCCGGGAGGGTGATGGCATGAGCCCATCTGCAGTGGCTACCTGCTAGCAAGACTTTTTTGGGATCAGCAAAGCTCAGCTGTTTTTCTCCCCTTGTTCCTTTCAGGACAGGCACATAGACCAGAGGAAGGAGCCACGGAGGGACTGGTTTTCTGTCCCCCACAGGCATGCTGGCGTCAGAGGAACAGTCATCACTGGGAAACTTTACAATGAAGTCACGCCGGTGGGGATAGCTCGCTAACGGCTTGTATACATCACTGCTGCCCCAAAGCAGCTGCCCCAAAGCAGCGTCTTCGGCAAGCAGCGGGAGCTTTGCCCCTGGCAGCAGCAGGCTCCGAATCAGGTCTTTGGTGGCCGTGTCCAGTGGGACACGGAGAAAGGGCTGTGGGTGACACTGGGGGCTGCACCAGCCTGTGTGTCAGCTGTGCAGGGCCTGATCCTGCCAAGCGGCCATCTCCTCCTGCGGGGAAGGGTTACCAGATCTCCCGGGATCAGGCACTACGGTTGGTGCCGCAGCTCTGCTGCCTCGGCTCACACCGTCTCGCCCTCTGCTCCATGTCTCTCCTCCCTTAGCGTGGACAGGGGTTTACAAGCAGAGGTTCCCCAGACAGGCTGTATCCTGCACCTTCGCTGTGGGTAGCGCTTCGGGGCCTGCTGCTGCACGGAGGGCTGCCCTTCACTGCGTCTGACTTCAGTACAAAGTTCCACTTCAGGTTTTTTGGTGGGTTTTCTCCTGCTTATTCTTTGCTTAAATAAGAGGTGTGAGTTCATACATTGTAAAAACAGCGCAACAGTTGGATGAGACAGCATGAGGAGATTCTCAAAATAACAGAGACATTAGTCTTCTAACCAAAGGAAACGATTTCTCATCCAGCGGATGGCAGAAGCAGAAACAGGATCAGATCAGCTATTTCAGAGCTGGCAAATAAACAGAGAAAAGACTAGCAGATCCCACCGGCAGCAGGGTTGGGCATGGAGGAAACCCTCTTAAGCCCCCGTAAAAGTGATTACATCCAAATCACCCGCACAGATAAAGTCAGGATTAGAAATGCCAAAATTTCCAGTACCTAAACACATCCCGAGATGGATGTGTTACAAGATGGACCCAAACGTCGTCTGTGACTGGGTGAGCCTAAGTGGGGCATATAGGATTTTGGGTGCCCTTTCAGTAAGGGTCTGCTGAACATACCCCAGGTCTGTTCTTGCACCATCTGCAAGGCACAGCACCTATGAGATTCAATATGAATACTGCTGGTGCTTTCCTGGACCATGCTCATGCCTCCCCCATAGCAGGAGGCAGATTCTGCAGGTGAAGGGACAGCACAGCCTCATCCCCCTCTTTGGGAGAGCAGACCCCTCTGTTGCATATTCTGCGCTGGCTTCATTGTCAGTAAGAGCTTTGCATATGAAAGGACCTCAAAATTGAGGTCACTCTGGCCTCGGGTTTCAAGCCCGCTGCAGCTTTCATCAATCCCAGCTGGAACAGGCAGCGCGCAATGCCCCTGGGAGCCAGGAGTCCTGGGCTCTCTCTACAGATGACTCTCCTCGACCTTCTGTTTGAGATCGCTATCTTGGCCTGTTCATCCGTGAAGCGGAAATAATGCTACAGGCAGGGAAGGGTGTACTCACACCAACCACTTATGCATCTGATATTAGAGGTTAGACAGAGAGGTTCCTTCATAAGATGATCTACAGCCCATGTTCAATTTAGGCGCGCTGGATCATCTGATGGGGAGGCTTCCTTCGCCCACTGGCAGTGTAAGAAGACAAAGCTTCTAATTTTGGCACTTAACTGCTGTGAACACCTCCTTGTAATCTAGATCAAAAAAAGGTACTGGGCATTTTGTATCATTACTGCAAAAATAATTTAAATCTTGAGATGCAATGCAGAAAGTGTCAGCTGTGAATATGCAACAAAGGTCTTCTGCTGTGCGGATTTATCACCCGCACAGCAAATCCCAGAGGAGAGCTCTCCCTGGATAACGCGCCCTCTTCCAAGCAAGGGGTGGTCTGCAGGAACTTGGCATTTCTAAAGCAAAACGTCAAGGCACCCTGGAGAGGGAAAGGAAATACCTGGTAGCACCGTCAGCCAAGCAGAGTGATGTGAGAACCCAATAGAATTCCCTGCGAGACAAGTATATTCCCCAGCATCCTCAAAAGTAACATTTCGCAAGTACAGAATCTCTAGCTCCTTATCCGTTGTGTTAACACCTGCCGTCTACAGGGAAAAAAAACACACACATATAGAAAGAGGGAAAACAGAGAATAAGCCACATTCCCAGCAAGTGTGAGGACACCACAGGCAAATTTCAAAAGCAGATTAAAGTGGGTTGGTTTTTTTTTTTCCAATGGCCCATCTGCCACATTTATTTATTCATTCCCCTCTGCAACCTGTAGTCAAAAGCAAAAAAAAGTTCCCTTCACCAGGTTCTTACTCTGTCCCACTAAAGAAGCATGCAAGCAAAAGCATCCAAATGAAAAATTGCCCCCACAATATGACTGACTTTGGGTTAGTCGGGTGAGTACAGGGGGTGGGAAAGAAAGATGGTAAAAGAGGAGAGGAAAGACAGAAAGAAAGGAGAAAGAAGGGGAGACGTAATGGGGAAAGACTCAAGTGCTGATCAGAGGAACATACAAACATTTTGATTCATTAGTTCATCGAAAAATACAGAATTTTACAATTTTTTAGAATTTTTTCAGAATGGGCATCTCAAAGCCATATATTTGTTACACGGCCCTCGATGCCGTAGTATAACTCTGGTCGGTTACAAGAAGGTACCTGTAAGGAACTTTCCTGCAGTGACACTGAGCAACAGAGCAGCCAAACCCTCCAGGCTGGAGACAAACCCCAGAGCCCACGAGATTGCTGCTGCTTTCTATTTAACATGTTTGCTTGCATGAGCCAATGCTGGTATTTATTTCTCCATTAACTGCTCCAAGACAGAAATCTGTCTACTGATTATATCAGTTTTACGGGTGAAAATCTTAAACAGCTTGGTTTTCCAGAGCTTTGAACGTCACAGGTCATTAACATGCAATTCTGTTATCAGCACTCAATTGTAAGGAAGGGAAAGGAATAAAAGCGTGAAGAGTTGATAGCAAAATTTGACAGTCATTTTATTGTGGGAATTTTTCCATGGCAATTGCTGTATAGGCGTTACATTCTTGTAAAAAATAAAATTAGCAAGAAAATAAGATAAAGCCATTCAGCGTCAGTTGACAGGGTATAATACAAAATGAATAGTAATTTTAATCACTAGCTTCTTAAAAATGTTATAGCTCATTCTTGCAGTTGCCAGGGCCTTGGGACAGAGTCTGTGGTTTACCTGGTTTTGGTTTGCGAATGTGGAGCCAAAATGGTTTTTCGGCTATGCCTACGAAATTGTTGGCTCTACACAGATATTCTCCTTCATCTTGTTCTGTCACATTGAACAGATTTAGGTTAGCATCGGCTTCAGCGTTTTTACTGATCCAAGACTGCAGGAATAGACAGAAACCTGAACTTCAGTAAACCAAACAATACCTCCATCGCACCTACATTAGCTACGATTGACTTCACAGTTACTTTCTTTTCGGCTGTGGCAACATCCCCAGCTCACCCTGCGGTGAGAGACCTAACCCAGGACCTGGGTGAAGAAGAGAAGTTGCATTTGGCCCCCAAACCACGTGCAAGTGAACTCCCTTCCCTTCATTAGTGGCACACACACGATTTCTTTTTTAAAACAGACCAATTTCCCACTTCTCCATCTGACAGCAGTCAAAGGCCCTACAGTTTCTTAATAACTCTGCAGACAGGAGCACCAGAGAAAGGGCTTAAGCAGAGATTTGTGTTTGCAACCCGGCTCAGCAAATACTGTTTCAATTATCAGATTCCAAAATAGAATTTGGAAACAAAATATAAGCAGTGGCGGTCTGAAACTCGCTGCTGACTTTGCCTTTCAGAAATTAGCTGTAATTTTTTCCACTGCTTATAGGAGCCTCTTCTTTACTAAATAAAGTGGTGCATACAAATCAAACAAACTTCAGACTCTTAAGCAAGGGTTTTATTTCTCTTCTTCCACGCTGCCACAACAGCACATCAGTTTGTTCTCTAAACAGTTGTTTTTATTTTGGTTGAAAATGCGCAACTGTTTTGGGTGGCCTCAGAAGCAGCCTAGGGAAAGCCTAGAAAAAATATCAGCTTCAGTTCTGGAAATGAAAATAAAACAATTGGTCTTCTCATTTTTTGGTCTTATGCTCTCCAGCCCAGTCTCGGTGCCTTCGATTTCAGGGCCTGATCCTGCCAATATGCCTTGCAGCCCATTAAAATCAACACGACTGCCAGATCTGACATGTTATTAAGAACTGAACCCAGAGGTGGCATCAGAGAGGAGCCCCAGTGTCCACGTCTGATGACAAACACCACCGGTTTTGACCTGATCTCATCTCTAAGGCTTACATGCTGGCAAGTTTGTCTGTCCTGACTAGTGGGGAAACGTGCCTGCCTGCTGTTACTGCCTTGTTTATAATTAAACCAGGCATGTTTCAATGCAGAACATACAATTTAGCCTTTGACAAAGCTTGGGCACAGTGTTGCCAGCCCCCCCTCTGAAAGTGGAATGCATTTAGTGCTCTTCTGCAAAGAAAAAGGGGTTTCCTTTGATCACAAATTAGCCCGGGCTTTCAGGAACTGATGCAGGTGATGGCTTGGTTTTGTCAGGCTGTTTAAAAAATGGGTTGAAAGTACAGCATTCAATTTATCCATCTGGACTGGGGTGGGTTTTGACCCCCCCCATTTAGATGCGAGGGGAGAATTTCATGTGCTGGACACCTCTCCTTCCCCCTTGCTCCGACGGAGACCAGAATACTCCCCATATACAAACTGCCCCATAGCAGCTCCTACACTCCACAAAATCTCCTGAAGGCAGGAGGGAAGGGCAGGCTGATAAAAAAGCCTTATCTCCCTGCAGGAGAGAGCCCCTTCTAAAGCAGCTGTGGGCAGGGAAGGGCTGTTAGCAGCACCCTGCTCCGGCAGCACGGCCAGGATGCTGGGTCAGAGCGACAGCACTGCGTGGCACGAGGGGAACGAGTCCATAAAGCCAACGGACCGGCCCCAAGATGACAGTGAGATCATTTTATCAGATCGTTATTTTTAAAAAACAAGCACACACACATTTCAAAAAAAAAAAAATCCCTGCAAAGCTGGGCCTGACACAGCTCCACGGAGGCCCAGTACTGGCGCACAAAAGATGCATCCCAAAATGGAAATGCTCCGTGCCCCAGCGCTGATGCCGGCATTAATACAATTCAAAGCATTCCTGATTAACCAGAAGTAGTAAATAGACGTGTGCTGGTCCTTTTCAGCAAAAAAATAAAACCAAACAAAACTTGTGCTTTCAAACGCCTGCCTGTGCTCCCCTTCGAGGAATGCGGAGCCTTTGCCGTCCACAGAAGAGAAGGTATTTGGCAATTCTAATTACCTAGCCACCCCGGTGCCGCTCCAACTTAATTTTAAAACACTATTTATACGGACTATTTATATGTTCTTTGCCACACCAAAATGGGAGCTTGTGCTTGTGACACAAGGCACTGTTCGCAGCGGCTCTGCGAACTTCCAAAAGGTAGCACTTTATCCCACGGGGACCACACACGGAGCTCGGAGACTATACTAGATGGCATGTGACAGAGCCAGCTATTCAGAGCTTGGTACTGGGCTGTGAAACCAGGGGGAAATTCAAATATGCATAATTCAAACACATTTGGAGAGACAGCGAGAAAATAAAAAGTTTTATCAACTCGCGAGAAGCGCGCGTTGCCAATCCTGAAGAACTGTCTCCAGCCATTTCTTCCAACCAATCTGTTATTTCAATCTGTGTAATTATTTCCAGGGTCTCTGGCTTTTATTATCATGTATCTGGCTGAGTTACAGTTTTGTAGATGCTGTCTGATAAGTGGGGTTTTTTAAAAACTTCATACAAAGAGAAGGGTGTGTGCAGCAGGATGTGCATGGGGAATGTCCACGCACAGGACAACCTCAGCTTGAAACTGCAGGGACAAAATCTGCTTTCAGCTATAACTGCAGAGCCAGAAAAAATGCATTTGGGCCGATATATTTTAATAAATACCAACACAGGATGCCTTTAATTATTAAAAGAAAAAAAAAAAGGGATTTTAAAAGTCCCATGTGCTTTTCACTCTCTATTCTCTTTTTATATTTGCATAGGTGAGGGGAAACCAGACACGCTGGCTTTGTTCTGGCTCTAATCTGGAAGTTCCCTTTCAAGAAAGCATTTTACCAAGTAGAGTCTTACTAAGTGAGTTTTTGCTCGGTAAAAAAAAGGCTTTCCTGAGCATGGATAATAGCAATGCTCACAAATGCTAGTGGCTGGAACAAGACTATCTTGGCTCTCAGGTGCTGGTAGTTCAGCATTATTTAGTACGTGCATGCTGCAGTGTGTTTACTTGCAAAAGGAAAGAATGTGTTTCAGTTGGGAGCCTTTTATTTTAATAAGCCCCGAAAATACCTCTATTGAAGCTGTAAAAAAAGGTTATTTTTACAATTTTAGGTCAAAAGCAATCTGACAGCTTCTCTTTCACTATGCTGCATTTCTCACAGTTGCCTCAGCTCTTATAACTACTTTGCTTATCTGTGCCACTACAGTAGTTGTGTTATCTCTGGCAAACAGAAGAGTCTGGAACATCGACTGTAGGACATTTCTGCTGTACCCCCTCCAAAAAGCAGAGTATTCCACTGCTTGGGCTTAAAGGAAAGAACAATCCCAACAGCTGTCCTTGGCTTATTCTCATGATTTTTTTCTTACAGACACACAACAATTACAGAAAATGAGACCTCGAGCTCCCAAAAATCTGATTTAAATAATGGTTACCCTTTTAGGAACTGTGGCACTGAACATATTCTGTCAGAAGTTTTTGGTTCGCATTGCACTGCTAATCTAGGGCTTATTTATAAACATGTAAATAAAGTTTATGGCTTCCATTGACGGCGAGCACCTTTACCCAGTGCTGATCTCTCTTGCCATGAGTATGGCAGTGGGTTTCTTTGAGGGGCATCCCCACAATGTAGCTGCCATCTCTGTAATCGAGACCAAGACAGAGGAAGGACTGTCCTGAGGGTGAGAAGAAGGAGCGTGTACCAACCTTCAGCACTGTGACATAGGGTGTCCCATCAGGTCCGTATTTGCTGCCGTTGACTTCCACGTGTTTCAGCCACTGGATGTGAGGCTGGGCATCGCTGTAGACCTTGCAGTGAAACTCCACATTGCTCCCTACCACCACAGTCTGGTTGGCAGGGAGCCCCGCTTGTAGGATTGGTCGGTGGGGCGACCTTTCTGAAAAAAAGAAAAGAGAGGGAAATCCTAATTTACCTGTCCTTCCTTCAGCAAGGATTCTCCTCTGAACCCTTCATCTCCTGGCTTTTCAGCAGAAAGGGTGCAGACTGGGATTGTCCCCCCTAGGTGTCCTGGCCACCGCTCTACCCAGTGCTTCTCAAGCCAAACAGGGAAGAACCACCTGGGAATGGAGGAGGCATCTCAGCCCTGCCATTCCTTTTGGCCCCTCTGTAGACCAGCTAAGTAATTTACTGATCACAGATCTGAGGCTGAATTGTTGGCCAAAAGGAAGCTTGTTGTTGTTTCAGAAGACGCATGATCCAGCCCTTTGGGAAAGAAACCAAGCTCCTGCTTCCCGCACCACATCACGCACCTGTTCAACATCACCACAGATCAGCTGTTGAGGGAAAACAGTGAAATCTCACCTAATACATCAAGCTGATACGTGTGCCTAATATTGCCGTATTTGTTCTCCACAACACAGGTGTAATTTCCTCGGTCTGACGGCACAACACTCTCCATCACCAAGCTCCACTGCTGGTGTCGCAACTAAAAGAAGAAATCAAACCATCAAGCCTGTGGTCAAGTGCCATCATCACCGGACCATTCAAACCAGTGAACAACCAGTGAACTTCTACACACATGGCCAGCATGAATGGACCCCAGAGCAGGCCTGAACATCACAAGGACCCATTTCAAGGGTCATTAAAGACTTAATGTGAAAGGGAATTATGACCAATGCATGAACAGTGCAACACAATGTAACACACTGAGATTGCAATGGGGACTTGTAGATGCTTCCACAATAATAACAATAATGGAACCAGCTGACAGCTGAATGTGGCACCTCTCATTAGAATAACGACTTCAGAAGGCATCAGCTAAGATAACTCCGATCCGCTGGTCCCCTCTACCAGACCACTCTGGTCCAGAGACTGTCAGCTCAAAATACGTACTCTTGTCTGCAGACCTTTACCAACTGCTACATATAACCCATGAGATGACTAGAAACAATGAAGATCATACTTCTTCCCCCATCTATAACATATTTTAAAGATGTGTGCTACGGAGGCAACAGGGCATGGCATCTGTCTGAACAGAAATGGGTGTCTACAACTAAGTTAGCCCCCTAAATTCCCTGCAAAAAATAGGAGAAAACATGCTCAAGTCTGGTCCCTAGGATGCTTGGTCACCCCTTCTCTTTCGGCACCAAGTTGTACACTGGTTGGTTTTCTGGATGTGGCTCATGTCCAGAGCTGTTGGTTGTTCAGTAGCAGAAGGGAAAGCACAACCTATGTCTCTACCCTGACCTGCTGCCCTGTGCTCCCAGCTAGAACGTTTGTTTCTAATTGAGTATAAAGGAAATAACGGATACAGAAAGCAAATCTTGAATTAATACAGAAAGCAACCAACACTAACAAAGATGACTTCAGGATGCATAGCATATGAAAGCTCTCCAAATCTCTGGATATTAATTTGATGCCTTCTGCCGCCCAGAGCAGAACATTTAACTTTATTAAACATTTTGAAGGTGACTCCAAGGACACAGAAGCGGGAGATTACAATAACGCTGCACTACAGAATGTCAAGGCCTGATGGAAAAAACAAGGGTGTAACTGCTCCTGGAGGTTTCTTGCTGCAGCAGGTGAACTCAAATATGAAGTCATTTAACCTCTTCTGCTACACATAAATTGCATCCACATGCTTTCCCTTAAAGGGCCAAGTCGCAATTAAAGCCAGAATTTTGCAAAGAGAAAGGTTTGAAGTCATAGGACTAGACAGCTTAGTTGCAAGATAAGCAAGCAAAAGCCATTTTAACAAAGCCCCTTGTGTTGTAGATCTCTGCATCCCCAGGAACAGCACTGCTGAGCACCCCACTTTTCAGAAACCGCTGAATACAGCATTTCTTTTCATTTTGGGTTATAGGTAAGAGGAGGCTGTGGCTAAACAGTCTGTACAGAAATCTCGGTTGCTGCAGATGTCTGGTCAGGTCTGACTGCACCCTCTGCCCACCCAGGACAGCACAGATGGAGCTCAATGCTGAACCAACATTACACCTTTTGTAAAGCAACATCCCACTTGGTGCATCTCTGTAACAGTGCGGCAATTACAGGGTAAGAGATGCTCTGAGAACAGAGAGCCTGGACCCTGAGTTCACAGCTGAACATACCAGACTGTCAAGGAAGTTTCGATGCAAATTTGTGGCTGCTCAGTGGCTCATTTCCATACTGGCTTGTCTCATAGCTTGTCTCATAGTTGTGTCTAAAGACTTCACTTAATCCACTTTTCAGCACTGCAAAGCATTGTTAGGAGCCAAGGAGCTACTCCAAGGAAATGGGGCTCCAGATACATGGACGACTCCCTAGTCTGACCTGTGTTATGAAATCAGGTCCAAATTAGGTGGTTTATTTAGGATGTACTTTCAAAGACACTTTTATGACACTTTCAAAGAACTTCTCTTTGTCAGGTGTGTGATGGGGACTTTGGGCTCCGAACAGAGAGGAGAACCTGGGGGGCACAGACTCATGGGGCAGAACTTGTTTGGAAACTCTTGTAGAAGCAACAAGATCTTTTTTTTAGGTTGAGACTGGTGTCTAGATTTAAAGGATAATAAAAAGGGACGTTCCCAAGTTAGGTCAGTCGCTGTACTCGATAAAACACTAGAAACATGAAGTGACTTAGTGCAGGCATTTATCAAGTGGGTGAGATACTGGAAATCCCTCTGGGTTATTTGGTGTTGTCATTCTTGGCAACTTGTGAAACAAACATTTGCAGACACACTTGGAACCTCAGTCCGTGTTTGCCAGACTGGTATGCAAGTCAGTGCAACGGTCTGGGGAAGGGATAATCCTCTATCTCCCCTCCCCCTCCATCTTCCCTTCTAGGGTCATTTAACACACACAGGCTTACGATATTAGAGATTCCAACAAGGATTTAACCATTAATGCTCTTTGGGAAATTTCATATGATAAGTCATATGAGTTTCTTTTCTTTACCAGTTAAGGATGAACTGTAACAAAACTAGGTTAGCCTGGACTTCACGTTTTCAACACTCGCCCTCCTCTCTTGCAGACTTAACACCGGGCAATCACATGGGATCTAAATGCCATTTGCAAGAGGCAGAAGTGGAAGAGTGGTCAGCTTTCATCTGCTGACCACAGATCTTTCACAATCAATGTTTAAACTCTTCCACACGCTGAAAACAAATGAGAACATTCCCAGCTTAAGGATTTCTGGGTTCAGACCAGATCTTGAGATGAAGTAAGCCAACCAAACTCTGCCAGATCTGGATCTTGCCCATTCTTTTCAAGCCGTCTAATCCTGTTATGAAGCTAAGTTGTAACAGGGAATTTAAATCTTAAATACATGAGATACTGAGCAGGTTTTCAATCTCTTTTTCTGGTTCAAATCTCAGCTGATATCTATCAGTATATTTATACTGGATGAGATTTACATTAGACTACTTACATCTAACCACGGCTCAAGAGCAAAAGCAAGCAAATAAGGGAAGGAAAATTACAGCGAGAGAAAGATGTCTTTATATCAAGAAAGGGACAAAGAACTACACGTAGACAGATAGAGAGCTTAAACGAATCTTGCTGTAATTGGCCTGACATTGCCTTCAATAGCTCTTTAAGCATCGGCTTGTTGCTGGAAGGTGCCCCTAGAGAAACAAAGCACAGCGATGCCAAAGACTCACTACTGCGTTGCAGAGGATGAAACGTGTCAATTTAAACTCAAGGATAGATTAAAACCACTGGGAAGTGGGTAGGGGAATTGCTTTCAGCTTTAGAATTTATTCTGCAAGCATAATTTAGTGCAGCTGATGTCACATAGTTTTGTAAAAAGCCGCTTGAACGGCGCACGCAAGCCTGAAAACACTTCATGATGATCCTTACAGCCTGCAATTAGTAAAAGATGCTTGTGCTTTGCGAATATTATCTGCCGAAAGGCTGTTTACCCACAGGAGTTGCTTCCCCACTTCTTTTCCCTCCTTAACTTTTCAGAAGATCCAAACCTGAGCGTCCAGGCTGGAGCATGGACAGGGCTGAGGAGGGAGCTTCAAAGGCTTCACTGGAGCAATCACAAAAGGCTCTTTCAGTAACGGGTCTGAGCTAACAGGAAAGAACAGCCCAAAACTGTGGGAGGGAAGACTATTTTGAATCCTTTTCTGGTTTCTGGAGCCCGGCACGCTTTGCATGCCTAACCCTGCTTTCAAGACGCTACAGATGTGGTAGGCATCAGCACACAGCTATTCGGAGTACTGATGAAGGTGCCTTCCTAAAAATCACCTTCTCTCCTTAGCATTAGCCCAGGGATATGCCAGGGCTGGCAGAGTGCAGGCAAAAATTGCTGCTCAGGAGTCGTTTCTGCTACGCTGATTTTGTTATAATCAGCTGCTGCCAGTTTTATTCTCCCCAAATAAAACCAGAAAGGAGTCTGCCTTTGACCTCAAGGGGACAAAGTAATCACAACAACAACAAAATCAGAGAAGAGCTGATTTTCCTGTTAAAATCCTGCCATAATTTGTCATATACAGTTGTCCTGGTCTCGGCTATATCAGCTACTGGGAAGAAAATTAATTCTATCCCAGCCGAAACCAGGACAACAGTAGCACAGAAACTTCTGGCTAATTAAATAATTTGAGTGCAGTGGGTTTTTGTTCCCCTTAGCTCTATCTATAAACACAAGCCAGAGCATTTTCCAGAACACCTTATGGTAGAAAGGAAGGAGGGAGAAGAAAGCAGCCAAGGAGCAGATGCTATTACTCTGGCTACAAGGGAATCCAACACTTGACCGATGGTCAGTGATTTATACCACAAGAATGTTAATGACCACCAGCACGACGGTCCAGCTCTTTGGTGAGGTCCTTCCTACACCTTCAAAGGATGCAGAGTCGGTTTTCCTTGAAAGCTGGGAGTAGCTACGGCTCGGTCTAACACGTCTCAACACACTGGGCAGATCTCAGAAATTGGGACAGAAGTTTCTGCTCCTGTTTTCTCATCACTGTCCACAACGCAACAATAAACCCAGCCTCATTTTTACCTTGCCCCTGAATGGCCACTATAGACAACCTCAGAGGGAATTACCCCTCAATCCCAAGGGACAGCAGCCCTTTTTAACCCTCTGGTGTCAAGCAATCGCTAAGGCTGCCAGAGACACCCCCATTCCCAAACAGTTGGGACCGTGCTCTTACACCTACCGATGTTAATCACTGTGAAATACAGTTTTCTACAGTCGGTCGAAAACTCCTGATAAAAACAGAGATCCAAACCAAGGCCTTACCTTGATGCCCCCAATCCTATGCTCTCCCTTGAACTCCTTGCCGTTTTTCAGCCAGTAGATGGAAGGAGTTGGGTTTCCACCCGCCGGACATCGGAAGCGAACGGTGTTGGCAGCGGGAACTGCCAGCAGCTTCTTCTCCATCTTATCTGGCCGGGTCCAGAAGGGGACACCTGAGAAAGGAAAGACCAAGTTGAACAGGCCCATTTCTGCCGCGGAGGATATCAGCTGGTGAGCAGATGCCTTTGAGAAGGCTTTGGCATGTGCGGAGTGGCAGTTAAATTGCTACCTGCTGCAGTGAAGATAAATGACACAGAAATGCTTTCCAGCTAAATGACTCTCATAGACATAGACAGGGTGTTTGCATTTTAGGTTTGTGATGAAAGGTTCATGACCAGGTTCTTGTCTCGGTAACGCCAGTATAAATCTAGAGTAGCTGCTTTTAAATCAACAGGGAGAGTTATCCTGGATCAGGATGAGAATCTGGCCTCAGCGTGTAAAAAGATACAGATGTACCTTCGGGACAATAGTAGCCAAGAAGCATGAACAGCAGAAAGATGTTGGAACTGTAAAAAAATGTTGATGGGCCAGCAAGGGAGCAGAGAAAAACTGTTAGCTGAGTGCACTGGAAAATTTTGCTTCTCAGTGAGCACAAACATAGTGTAGCCTCCTTAAGGGAAGGAAAGAAAAAAAAAGCCAGTGCCAAACTGGTTTATCGTGTTTATGTTCTTTAAGTACAAGTGATTTTAGTTTTAAAGATTCATGTTACCTTTGAACAGGGATAGGTTTTAAAACACCAGTGTTAGCATGAGATACTTTTTATAATCTGCCTCAAGTACAGCGATGTTTCTTGGCTGTGTTACAAACATTACATATTAACTCCAAATTAAGGCAGCAGCAGCAGCAAACTCATTATACTGGGAAGAAAGAAAGAGAAAGTTTTTAAAAAAAGCCTCCCAAGCTTTCATTTCTGCTTAAGGAAACACTGGAGGGCTGCACGTGGGGTGTTTCCCCTGCCACGCCGGGGGCCACATCCGGCCCCCCAGCTCCGTGCTCCACGCCGAGGCCAAAGGGAGATGGGGGCGGACAGCGTTTGGGCTGCAAAATAGCAAAGAGGAGGCCAAGGAGTGTAACTGGCATCTCCTCCAGATGGGAAGGAAGCACCCACAGACCCAAACCCATCGGTCGTAGAGACCTGTGTGCTTCTGGCCAAGACAAACTGAAGGTGCTGGTCCTTCAAGAACTGCCTTGGAGAACATGATGGCCGCCAAAGCTGTCGGGAAAGCATTGCTGCTGGCCTCTCCCGCAGCGGTGATGCTCAGAAACACCACCCAGCATCACAGCCCCACCTCACTGCTACTCCGAAGCCTCTGCAATCCCCTCCCCCTTAACGACAAGGGCATACAAAGTTTTTCCTCTTGTTGCATCCCTCTGAGATGCACCAAAGCTGCTCCCTTTGTACTTAGCCCTGACGTGTTTGGCTCCATGAGACCCATCCCATTGCAGTTCCAGGTAAGTCAGTGATGACGCCACCTTGGTCTAAGTCCCCAGCGTCCCCCATGCAGGCTCCCTGCTGCATTTCAGCTCCAAAGATTTTGCAGGCAAGGTCATACAGCTCAGCCAAGGCAATCCATGCACCCGCTGATTTTTAGCACCTGCTAACACTCTCCACATGGTCCCCTCTCCCCATGGCTCTTTGCCAAGCCCACTCGGCCATGAGGAACCGCATGTCAGGAGCTACAGCCAGGAGGCCCTCCATTTGCTGGAAATGGCCCCGCTGGGCGCATCGTTCTCGTCTCATCTGCTTTCACACCTCTGCAGCAGAATGGCTGGATGTAGGTGCCTCAGTAATGCTGTCCCAGGGAGGGAAATCCAGTTCTGAGGGCTTGCATCTGCCCCCAGACTGCCTTGCACAACGCACCGCGATGCCTATCAGAGTCAGCTCCACGTATCAGAGGGATCTGGTGCTCACCCATGCCGCGTACGCCTCATTTTTTAAACAACGAAACTGCTTAAGGCCCTTTTCTTGCCGGGATGGCACTGGAGCAGGAGTACGGCTGGCACGAACAAAAGCAAAAGGAGGAATCCCTGCAATTCCCGTGCTCCCGCAAAATCCCGGCTACAAACTTTGCTGTAAACACACGGCACATCCAGGAAAGGCCTCAAATGCAACACGATAACGTGGGCTGAAGCGGGATATCATGAAGCCATCTACCTTCCAACATCTGAGCTTAGAAAAACGGCAGAACTGCACAAAGAAGGGAAATATTCAAAAAAATGCTAGAAGAGCGGGTGCAACCCCTAAAGGAAGAGCAGGTCGTGATGGCAAAGGAAGATGCTGCTACCGCATGCGTTGGACAGGGCAGAAACCAAGCAAAGGCTGGGCAAAAGCCCAGGCAGCAGCAGGGGGGTGAATCTGGCGGAGGACGGCTGGGGTGGTGTTGGGAAGGCTGAAGAGGAGGGAGCTGCAGAAACCATGTCGGGAGACATCTGGTCCTTGGTTTCCGAAGCAAGGGCTATTTTCTGGCCGAACGCTTCCCTTAGGCAACGCACCCTGATTTCCCGGGGACTTTACAGAAGGTTAACAGAGGTACGGGGGAGAGTTCAAGGAAAGGCCAGGCATGGATGGAAAAGTCCCCCTTCGCCACAGCTAAGAAGGGCAGCCGAATAACCTGCTGTTTGTTGTTTGATTAACGTATCTGCCTACAATAAATCCCATTTTATGGTGTCGGTGACACTCACCCAGGCACGGGGGTGTAACTAGATCGCACGGCCGCCCCGCCAGGACCCGGCTCCTCCTTGCACTGTGCTTTTGGGGATCTTGCCCTTTCCACACCGGCTGCGTGTGCTGCGGGGCGACGTTTCACCACGTTTTCTCACTCAAAAGATGAGCTTGAATCTCACAAGAGACCCGTCAACCCACTGGCTGCAAATTTTGCCATTGAAGCCAAGGGGGATTTTGCCATCGGACATCAGAGAGGAGCAAGACGGGGCCCAGGAAAGTTTCCAGCTGGGGATATTCTCCATATGGAGCAAAGGCAGGATCCGCTCCTCCCTCCTGCAGTTAGACACGGCTTCTTCCCCGAGTGCCTCCCCTCCATTCGGGTGCTCTTCCATGCAATTCAGGGCTCGCCAGGGCTGGGCACCCCCGGACTAACGTGCCAAGCTTCAAACCAGGGCATCGCTCTCCAGTTGAACTGGAACTGGAAGAAAGTGTCTGTGCATTGAAAACGGTGCCTTTGTTCTCGCTCGCAGGAGCAGCGAACAAAACATCACTGCTTTCGGTTTGCTGTGCCCCCAGAGTCCTTTCATTACCGCTTTTTAAGGGGGTGCAAATGTTGCTAACTCTTCTTTTCAAGCAAAGCTTGCAAAGCTCCAGAGAGTTTCAGGAGTGAGGAAGGAGGAAGGATGAAAGACAGGAAAAATTTCTAGAGCCGCTCTCTCTAAATTAATTACGAGGAATGATTTTGCATGCGCAGGTGTGAAAAAACAAGGGACCCGCAAACATTATCACCAGCCCTTTCCCATCATCAAACACTAAGCCCGACGGTCCGTTTTGTTCGTCAAAGACACTGGCCACCCATCCGACTGGAATGACCAATTAAAAAAAACCGAGAGCGATACTTGGAATAATTAATACAGCCGAGCGCTCATTTAGCAATTAGGAGCTGCCACAAAATTCTGCAGCAGACAGAATCAACCCTAATTGTGTAATTTCCCCAGCTGACGCCTCTGAGTACACAGCCAGATTTAATTGGAGATTATAGGGGCTCTTTGAAGGTGCTGGGGCTACGCAGCGGGGGCTCCAAACAAACAGATACAGAGGGGTAGGGAGCACTGGGGCAGAAGAGCAGTGTGTGAAAAGGGAGTTTTGTTTTTGTTTCAGGGCCAGGAAAAACAGCTGTAGAGAACAGAGGTATTGGAAAGCCTCTTTTTGCAAAGGCAGATCACGGTTTGTGACAAGGCTGCAACAAACGGGCCGATGATTTGAAGCTGCTGAAGTTGCTCTTTCTTCTTTTCTGCTGCCCATCCCTAAGGGATGCCCCGATTCTGTACTGCCCTTCGGAGAGGATGCTTAAAGGAGGGTGAGCAGAGCAGGGCACTCCACATGGAGGGCCTGTCTCCGTGCTCTCCAAGGGTTTTTGCACCAAATATTCATTTCTATTAGGACAGATTTGCTCTCATTCTCTTGCTTTGGTATTTCCAACTCCCGTCATTCAACAATTTTGGGTCAAAACCCCAAAATCAACAAGATTGGCTTCAAACTCCTGACGCTGTTAGAATCAGCTCTCCAAGCTCTTCTCTATAAATATGAGGATAAGAAACTCTCTTGAACAACACAAGTAAGCCAGAAACTTAACTTACCATGGCAAGGGGCCAAGAGACAAGGTTTTTATTCAATGATGTGCAATATGGCAACATGCAATGAGCCAGTCCTGGATGGATTACCTCCCCCTAAATAGGAGTAACTATCGGTTATATTTTTCTTTTGCATGAAAGCGTGTTTAGTGCCTTCACTCCTCTTAACTACTGACCATGGCTACGTCTGACGGCCAAGCAGGGGCTCATACACCTCATTAGTAGGGTATCTTTTTGCCACAGGAGATGGAGGACACAGGTCTTTGGGCTGTCCATAGGACATGGCCCTGGCTAAACCCACATGTCCGCCTGCCCGGGATGGTCCTGCAGCCCCTGTTCCCGGTGGGATGTCCCAGCGGTGGTGGTGCCAGGGTTAACAACACGGCTCCCCAGACTCAAGAGAAGATCTGTGAAGGTTAAGTGGAGGGTCTGACATCAACCAACGCAACGTAAAGCACATCCATGTCACGACACGCCATGGGGTTTCACCACTCTGGCACGTTAAGCTAATCAACAATTTTTAAAGCAGAAGAGAATCCAACTTTTTATAACGAGACCTTTAAGCAAAGCCAGTTGTTACCTTCGGGTCTAAAAAAAGAGACAGCCTTGAAGTCAAGAAGACCCAGAATACAGGCTATAAATACATGCGGCAAAACGTGTGTTTTCCTTTTCAGTGAAGAAAAACGTGTCTTTCTGTGCCATAAACCAGCTCATGTTTTGTGATACCTGTTGCTAAGAGATGGAGTTTACTACAAACCGCACAAAAAGAAGCACAGAACGATTAATTGTGCTCATCAGAAGCTGCTCTGCAGCAGGAACAAATCCTGACCAAACCTGACCTTCCCTATGCCTCTACCAGGCTTCAGCAGGCATCAGGAGCCCTGAGCACCTCTGCAAAGGTGCTTGTCACCTCACAGGATCTGGCCCTTAATTAGAAGCTATCAGAAAACCACTAACTGCTGCCGATGGGTCGCCTGGCACCGTAACTCACCATTACTGTCCACATACTGCACGACACAGCGGTATGAATTTCTTACAGTGGGAGACCTGTTTTAAAGAGTCCTGCATGTCCAATGCTATGGGCAGGAGAAATTTTCCAGTCATGTTGAACTTCTGCCAATGTACATAGCTGATTGGGAGTTCAAATGCAAGACATTTATTTATTAAAAACACATACACATAGGCAGCTCACTTTGCAGAAATATAAAGAGCATAATAAAACACAACACTAACGCCTCTGAAGCATGTAATGATCCTGATGAATGCTATTGCACTTAAAGAAACAAGCACTAGGATTGAAAGAGATTCAGAGTAAAAGCACCAAGAGGCTCCGTCCTGGGGCTCTTTTCCCCATGTGAGAGAAAGAAAAAGCCAGTAAAGCCAAAGGGGTTGCTCCCACTTACGGCATCAGTAATGTTGGCCCTTGGCTAGTGTAAATTTTATGCTCTGACTCCAGTCAAGATGCTGGTAAAGACCAGAAGCAAACCAGCTAAAACTAAGCAGGCCAAGGTTTGCAGTGATGTAAAACTGGTGTAACGTCAGTGTAGGAAAAAAAAAAATGGTAAGTGGGTTTGTCTGGATTTACATGCAAGGAGAATTTATAACTCTAGCTCATCAAGACAGATTTGCAGAATCATGTCTCCAAAAAAAAAAATTACGCTGCTGCTGTAGGATATTATAGCAGCAATACCACTCTGTCAGCTATTTCTAAGTTTTCAGATGAACGTCATCATGGTACCATCCTAAGGTCACCGATTTCAACACGGAGAAAGAGCTGCTGTCCGACCAGACGAACATCCGGATGAGCTGCTCCGCTTGGGAGCCACATCTCTCTGAAACAAAAGGCCTCTGTATCCCATAAAAACTAATTACCTGTATCTTCTGACTCATCGTCGTCATCTTCATCATCACCCGATGAAGGGGAATCTAGGAGGAGAAGGAGAAAGAAGTGAAGCAGAAGGAAGATGGCACGCGGGGACACCATGTTGGACAAGGCTGTTGATGCCACAGTGGGCTCCAGCGAGGGAGGACATCCAAGTGGTGGGTCACCCTTCCCTGCAGCTCCATCAGCCTGTCCCTCCCACGCTGCTGAGCCAGGGACAACTGGCCAGGAGTTTTCTGAACTGGGAGAGAGGTGTCATGAGTTTGCCAGTGCTCTGCCACCAGAGACCGGGGTCCGATGCCAAATACTTTTCCCCATGTGAAGTGTTCTTCTCCTCACAAATACAAAAGCAATTCCAAAAGGGGAAGTTTATTTTTGCAGAACAAGCTCTCCCCCGCTTTTTTTTCCCTCTAGCATTCAGTCTGAAGACTTTTTATTTCACCGAGTCTCAAAATGACAGGTCAGCATTTCTAACTCACTTTCCCTGCATTTTTCTTTTAACTCAATACACCTCTGCCACATCTCCCCTCGTTAACTCCTTGCTCAACCACTCAGAACAAAGCTTTTAAAACTTCCCCTTGCAATCAAACCTCTCTCTCGATTGACATTTTGATGGCTACTCCGTGAACCAGTTCCCTTCGCTTATACTCCTCCTGCAGAGGCACCTCGAGGCTGTAACTGAATACAGGTTAACAGGTGGGAATTTTCCATCTGTATCTCTCCAGAACATCCTGAACTGTTTCTCTTCATGTGGTCTAACATCTCACCTTCTCCAAGCTGTCCACAATGAAGTCTCAGTCCCTCTTCCCACCACCAAACAACTACTGTAAATGTAAATCCCATTATAAAATAGCAGTTTACTGTTTGATTTAGTTTACACAATTTAGTACAATTCAGTGTCTGGAAGATTTAGCATCGCTGACTTCATAGAATCTCCAGGAATTTCTTTTTTAAATAAACGCAAAATGCTAACAACCCAGCAGCCTTTATGTTCCGAGACGGCGGTAAAAGAACTTAAACACTAGAAAGTAGGAAACTTCATGTGTGTTCAACATGTGGCCAGAAATGTAAAGCACTACTTTAGACCAAGCCAGGCAGAACGTCCTTCATTTCAAGATGCACTCGAGTTTTCCGCCATTCTCCGACCAGCTCAGTGGAGGTAAAAATGGGAAAAAAAAAGGAAAAAAAAAAAAAAGAAAAAAAAAAGGTAGGGGAAAGGTAACAACGAATACTACTTCTCTGCAAATCTGGAAGGACTTCCCAGACATACTGACCATCTACAGGAGCAAGTAACACAGGAATCATCTCCCTGCTTTAGACTGCAGTGGCGCATCGTGCTTTGCACCTTCTCTTTGGCAAAGTCTCAAGGAAGACTTCAAGCACGTATCTAACTGCGAATCCATAGCTGAGGTCCTGCTGGCAGCAGAACTAGGGAAATGCCACGGGGCTTGCTGAAAGTGAAGTGGATGTTTAGGTGTTTTGGCTGAACCAGCAGGTTTACTCAAGTCCCGGCGAAGGCAGAAACCGAGCCAAATCCCCACCAGCATCGACAGAGAAACCAGCACATTCTCAGCCCTGCACTCTCAAATTTGGTTACCCATACATTAACATGTGATTATAGTTTACTTCTGGTTTCCAATGAATCAATCGTGACCAGAGGAGCAGAATCAATTTTTAAACCCATTCAAAAACATTTCCACCAGATTGAGGGAAGAGTCTTTGACCTTGCTTGCGTTTCAGATGAGAGATGCAGCTTAGGTTTTAAGACCAAATACCCCATTTCCAGAGCTACTGTCCTACTCAGGTTACTAAAACATCACCTTTTTCACAAGGTGATTAAAAATTTGTAAGCTATTTGTTAATCATTTACTAAAATAGTAATCCTTTTCAGAAGTTGACGAGTATTGGCATCAGCAAGAACTGCTAGATGCTATTCTCAGAAGGGTTTTAATTATGAAAGGAAAGGGGCTTAATTTTTTTAGTCATCTGTTTTGAAGAGCTTAGTCTTGGGTATTTTGAAAGCTCTTTTGCTGGTACCAGCCTGCAGTCCGTGCTCGTCACAGGGGTGCTGCTGCTCGGCCGCTAAATCCAAAGGCTGTTCTGTGCGTGAAATGGTTGCAGCAATGGAGCTTCTGCCAACAGGGCTGGAGACCAGTTTGGGCATGCAGCCTCTATTTGTGATCCTCTTCAAGTGCTCAGGTTTTAAGAGGACAGTACGTTTCTTTTTGTAAACTAGCATAACACTCAAGCCCATGTCTGTCAAGGGAGGCATTTTAAAGAGAACAAACCCTGCTATTAATCAACCCGGTTTTCAACTCTGAAATGCCAGCTCCAGCATCATCTTGCTCTACCTTCAGCATCAAGCATCTCACTGTGCACACTGAGAGTTGCTGTAGAAGAGCCAATTTGTTGCAGACTCAAAACTTATGGCCCCACGTAGGAAAATCCTGATACGCTGCGAGAATCTGGAAGCGTCCCTCAAAACGGGACTTACATGTATATCAGCTATTTTCAATATACCTAGCCTAGTTTTGCTCACTTAAGAGTCCAGATCGGAAGAATCTGGAAGCGTCCCTCAAAATGGGACTTACATGTATATCAGCTATTGTAGTTTTGCTCACTTAAGAGTCCAGATCGGAGCAATTCCAGTTTGTTAGTACAGATTTAAACCAGTTTAATGCAGAAAACAACTCCAGCCCCGAACATTAGATATCCACTTAAACACCCGACCAGATACCCGAGCTAATCGCTGGTGTTACCTCTAAGAAGTGGGAACACAAGCCACAAATCTCCGATAACAAACTCATCTCCGCAGTGCCACACTGAGCAATCAATACTAATTATGAAGAAATATCTGAGCATACGAGAGGCGCCACTATTGCCACATAAAGCAGGGCTTCAAAGTTTAAAACAAGTGCTGCTGACAGCTAAAACGGAGACTCCCACATTACCAGCACTTTGGTGGTAATGACAGTGGGCTAATAGAATCAAAGACTCATAATGCTGTCAGAAAGCAGGTTCAGGTTACTCGCTTGTTCTTAAACTGTTATTAGCTATTATTAGCGAAGAGGAAAAACACAGGGGCTTAAACTTTTTAAAAGCGGAGGATTATCAGCCCTTCCACTATTAAAAACAATTTCTCACTTTACGAACTTTTGGGGCTGGCAGCTGTTTCATTTGAGCGTGTAACCAGCTGCCCTCTTCTGCCTCCCTGCTGCCCCTTGAACTCAAAAGCATCTTAATGTCACTTAAAAAAAAGGAGAAAGTAATGTTTATAACAACCTGCAGTTCCTTGGATAGTTCCAATAATCGTACCTAGTTAAAGAAAGCCTTTCAAGGGCCAAATACTTCTTTAACCATTTAATTGATATGACCTTGAAGCATTCACAGCAATCTCCAGTAACATTCAATGAAAAGCAGATGTTGGTGAAGGCTTGCTGAAACGAGCTTTTATTCTCACGATGGTTTGATTCTCTCACTTACACAAAATCCTATTTCTGGCACAAGAAAGCCCTTTATGGAGTGGATATGATTTACAATCACAAACATCTCTGTGTTTGGTTTTCAGACAGAGCCCCTTATTTTTTCAGGGAAGTCAACTTTCGGAGGCAAGGACCTACTGTTCGGGGATGCTTGAAAAAGCTCCAACAGTGCAAGGGCAAAGGAAAGCTTTCAAAACCTTAGATCCACAAGGGGTTAATTCTTCTGAAAATTCAGGCTTTTAATCTGTGTGATCAGGAGGCTTTCTATCTGCTCACAGTGATGAGCATCCATCTACCAACGCGGCAGCCTGAAATCATGGAGATGATCTTAGTGTTAGCGGTTAGCTATCTGGGAACAACAGATTTTTCTGGCACTCTCTGTTTAGTGATCCAGGCTTGGACAGCTTGCAGCTATTCTGCCCTGCTGTCCTAATCACGGAAAATACAGCCAAGCAAATGACAGCACGTGCTTTGCTAACACAGCACTTGTTTGCAATACATGAATCCCAATAAGCACCTTTGATGAAGCACATATTTGAGATATATACAGTTTACAGATAAGCTACTTCCAAAACAAACGAGTAATTTGTGATAACTGGGATGGAGGGAAGAGATTTATCAGCTACAACGGGGAAACAGTTTTCAGGAACCTCCAGCTTTTACATGCAATTTTGCCACTGATTTGTCACATAAAGCGGAAAAAGTCACTTAACCTCCCCGAGCCACAGTTCACTCACTCACAAAAGACTTCAAAGGCACATGTAGCATTGCATCTATTTGAGTGTTAAGGTGGATTTGGGGTTTAATCTGACTAGCACTGTTTCTAAGTCTCTCTCAGTATTAACATCAAGATTTAACATTCGGTATGGACACGCAAGCATTCTTCGATTGGCTTGTTTTGTCAGTTTAATCACTGCCAGGAGTGACCATGGAGGTAGAGACCTACCAAGTACAGACAAACACCGCAAAGCACCAGCCATGCTTAACACGTGAAGGGGCTAAAAAAAAAAAAAAAAATATCACCAAGACAGCTGTATTTCTGCACGTACCTGTAACTCTGACTGTAAAGTTTCCCAGGACCTCGTTGGAATGCCTTGGCTTGCAACTGTACAGCCCCGAGTCATCATATGACACATTGATTATCTTCAACAGTTTTTGTCCAATATGAGTTCTGTTGGTAGGTGCAATCCCGATACCATCTTTAAACCAGAAAACAGACACAGAAGAGCCTTGGGTGTTACAGGAAAGTTCAATGGTATCTCCACTTCCAAACACCAACTCTTCCAGAAAGGCGGTCTCGCTCCTCAAGTATTCTGCAAAGGGAGAAAGAAATGGAAATGAGCCAATAAGAGCAGGTGTCAGAAAATGAAAGAGCATTTAATATCTTATATTTGCCCTACTGATGCTTCCATGTGCCCAGAGCTCCTCCTTGCCAGAGGTAAGCCTTGCCTGCCCCAGGCAGGTAGTAATGCAGAAAGACAGCTGTGCACACTACAGTCAGGTCTCTGGCTGATCTACAAGGATGGCTTCAACCCTGTAGTGACCAAAACACGGCCTGTAGTGACCAAACCACCAGATGCATCACAACAAACAGCACAGACCTCTATGTAGGGTCATTGCAACACCCAATGTTGCGTGGGGGGCGGATCTGGCAGAACTAAGTGTGTGCTGAAAAGTTCACAGTTCAGTCTCTGGATCTCCATTTCTTTACTCCTGTGAGTTTGTCCACAACCCCCACGAGACCCGGCAAGGAGGGGATACAAGGAGCAGAAACGGGGATAAAACCGATTTCTCAAGTGACTCTGGGTGGCCCAAAGGCAACCTCTGTGGGCTGAAGGAAACAAGAGGGAAGGCTGGACAGAAGACGCAGACTGGAACAGCTAAAATAAATGAACCCACCACTAGCTCCCTGCTGGAGTTACTCTCTGTGCAACGAAGAAGTGCAGAACCAAAGACTGAGCATGAAAGCTAAAATCCCTATTTCCTCAGTCTATCTACCAGCTGCAGCAGTTTGTTCCATGAGTGATGACAGTGAACCCTGCCACGGGCTGAGAATTTTGTTTTACCATGGATAATGACACAAGGAAACGTTCAAGCTCAGATGTCTCCCCATGGAGGAATGTGGGGCATGTTGAAAGTGTGGTTCTTGGGTCCGATGGTCCTCAGGCTCATTTTAGTGACACATAAACTCACTTTTGACATTGAATGGTTTATTCATCCTTTGCACCAGTTTAATAAAGAAGAATTAGCCCTCTACAGCTGCCCTCAACCCAGCTAGATCAACAGCAAGACTGCCATTCTCCCCACCTTGTCTATGCTAACCAACATTTTCACTTGGCATTGCCCTATCTCTATCTCCTGGCTTACACCGGCTCTGAGACTGTACGCTCCAACAGGCATAAGAGTCTTCTTGGTTTTGTACAATATGTATCACGGGGGATCCTATTCCACAACGAATACACTTTGGTGCTATGATTACATAATTAGCAAGTAAAAAGTAATTCAAAACAGATCGGTCTGAACCTAATCCTATGATCCAACCCCAGGTGGCCTGAGTTGATCTCCGACAGTAATCAGATCTGGATAGAGATCCTAATTTTGCAGCTCAAGCATATTCATAGATTACAATTTGACTGTGAAACCAATGAAATTACAGCAGCCCTGAATACCTGAGGATGTGGCATTAGCTTCAAGCTGCTCTTTTGCCATTAAGTGAAAGAGGTGGAGCAGGTTATAAGAGAAAAATGTATTGCTTTTCTCTTCTCGTCATGCAAGTTTTTATTCTTGTGGAAATATAAAATTAAAAACACGAAAATGATTCAGTCAATAGCCTTGCACGATAGAAATAAAGAATCCTGGGAGCCTGAAAATGTGGTATTTCATGGGAGGTATCGTCTCGCAGGAGGCAAAGCCCACACTCACTGGGGTTACGAAGAACCTTTCCTCTGATACCCTGGCAGCAATTCCAACTCAAGTATTTTAGGTTTTGGACAGAATTTTGTGGTACTCATATAGTCAAAGGTTTAGGGTGGTTTTTTTTTTCTTTTAATGAAAAGATTTTCCCTGAAAGCATATACTTTTAGTAAATAGAAAGACAGAGCTCCACCATCTCCTTCCTATCAGACCAGCACCTGTTGTGACATTGAGCATCCGCCCATGGTCTCTTCCCAACTGGGATATATCCCTGGGGAAAACATGGTTGAGAAATATTCTGGTTTAACTGTTCCTTTCAGGTTTTTTTCTTCCTTCTTCTAGACTATAAAGATTTTTTCAATGGTACCAACTTTGGCTTCTAATTAAAAAGCCCTGTATACAGCTTTGCACTTGCAGGACTGGGTACTGATCTTTGTTTGTTGACTCTGATGGAAGCTCTTGCTAATTTAATCTACTGGAAAACAAACCCCATGCAGCTGCACAATCCCTCTGTACAAAATACACAGTTTTACCCAAGCTGTTTGCCAAATGATCAAGACTTGTATATTTTGGCTTTTGTATCATAAACCTACCAAACAGGAACAAGCCCAGACTAAGCACAAGCCAAATTGTACTGCTTAGCCATTTAAAAGGAAATCACTCTTTTTTGAAAGCCATAATGAACACGGGTTAATGACAAAGCGACAAACTATTTTTATAAAACATAATTAGGGAATGCTGAAATTAAGAGGAAATTCACTTTGGACTCAGAGCAGAACGACTGGGGTCTGAAGCTTCTGTGGCTTCTGTGGAAAGAAGCATCATCTCTTGTTTCTAACAACTTTATTTTGGCGTCTCTGCCCTCCATCTCCCCAGCCGGTCTCCAGCAGATATTGTGATGCCTGTTAAATGCAAAGCTCAGTCCTAGTGACTTTATTCCTACTGACTGGGAGTAATATCTCGAAAGATGGAGTGGTGAATTAAAAGGAGAATGTTACTAATGGTTTTAATCTCACTTCTTTAAACAGTTTTTCAAATTTCAGTGTATATGCTTATGGCTTAAAAAATAAACAGGACCCAAATTGGAGACCTCCACAAAGTAATGTGCACTTAAGTGCTTAAGCACTTTGCCCAACTGTGACCTTGAATAACGAAATTTTACTCTTATTATTCCTCATATAGCTTTCAAATACGATGATAAATGCAAAAGCAGAGACAGTCTCATTTCCATGCTGAGAACAGCTGGAGTTTAAAGCAGGGAACCAGAGCTCCCGTCACCCGTTGGGCGCCCAGAGCCCAGCACCTCCTTCCTGCCTTCCAGCTGCAAGTGCCTGGTGTTTCCAACACCCTCTCAACAAGAGACACCAAGACATGAGGTTGGAGACATGAAGTTGCTCCCTCTGAGGCCAAGCATCCAGCCATCAGGCTGACTTGCAGAAGTCTACATCTCCAACCACGTGGCGTGAACAAAGTGGCAGGAGCTGTGTGTGCAGCCTGTGCTTGGGAGGAGTTTAACACAGATGGGCTGAGCCCTCCTGGGGACCTGGGTGAGGGTTTGGCTTCTTCATCCTGCATCTCCCATTGCTAAATCATAAGGAAACCAGTGCAGGGGAGCAGGCACCGAGCTCTCCTGACATGGTTGCGTCTTGCATCTGGACACGCGCCTTTGCTTGAGGCAGGCAGAAATCTTCCCACTGCAAAGCAGCACTGCGGGGAAGCAGGTTTTGGATTTACTGGAGCTACAAACACACATCTCCTGGATCTCAGTCCTGGGTCTTAAGAAAACCATCCTCGCTGCTGGCAAACAGCTATCCCCACGTGTCCTTTAAAACTTTCCTAAAGCGTTTACTATTGCGAGTCAGGTTGCAAAGGTCCCTCCCGGCTCTCCCAAAGGAAACTCCCATTTGGAATCTAACTGACATTAACAGCATCTTTTCAAAATCCGCAGTAGACACAGGTATAAATTACTGGGGAGTTAACTCGTGTCGGGGTTACGGGAGCCCACTCCACCACTTGCCAGCAGAGCAGGGATTAATGAGTTTGCAGCTTTAATGGGTTCTTAGAGAGGAGGAGGCAATCTAGGTTGTGGGCTCCCAAGATATGACTAAAATTCAACCATTTATTAGTTTGGCCAAAGCAGTAATGAGTTAAGAATCACCGAGAGACGCTTCTGACGGAGATCAGCACTTGCAGCATCATCACTGCTACTCGTAACAAACATGCTACAGGCAATTTTGAAGCTGTTCAGAGGAGCAAAAAGGCAGCAACTAGCTGGGAAGCACCTTCCACAACAGCAGGCCAGCTGCTGGCCCAGCAAATGCTAAAATGCTTTTGTATGTATTCACTTATAAGGATAAGATACTTCATCTCCATAGCTGCTTGGCTCATCTCAGCAATAATTCACTTTCTGTGTCATTCGCAGCTCCACGTGCTTAAGTGTGTCAGTATTTCCATCAGATGTCTGCTCCTCTTAGACATCAATACTTGGTTCTGGCTGAGCCTGGAAATGTTTTATTTTGGTTTTAACGCAGGCAGCTCTCAAGAACTGCAGGAGGATATGCAGTGATTTATTTTTCAGGCACAAAAGGATGAGGAGGTGGAGGGTGGTAGGGTATTCCTGGGCTGCTTATGGTCCCCCAAAAACTTCAAGTCAACTTAGAGCCTGGCTGGTGCCCTCCCCAGTGTCAGGGACTATTTCCAGGTGCTGTGGCAGAAGGGATGGGGGCTGCTCCTGGGGGGCAGAGGCCCACAGTGCTCGCAGGAGGCTCAGTGGGGTGGGGGAGCCCCGGGGCTCTGCACCACCTTGCAGGGTGCCGGTCCTGGCTCCAGGACACTCCAGCTGGTTATTTCTCTGCACCTCTGTTTTTTCTCCTGGAATAGCTTCCCACAATTCTGCTTTTCCAAACATCAAAGTGTTTGGGAGCCTCCCAAGGGACTGCTCAGGTGGGATGCATGCCTCCCCCATCCTCCTCCTCCTCCTCCTCCAGCGAGCATCCTGCAGCTGGGGCACATCCACCATGCAACCAAAACCCCACCGGGACCCCCACCACCGAGGGCTCGAGGCACACGACCTTCAGTACCACCAGCAAAATATTCCTCACCCCACCTTGAACCCTGACAATCCCAGGGAGCCTTTTTGGGATTGCTTCACAGGCCGGTGGTGGAATGGTCTAAGCGGCTCATTTCTAAGTGGATCATATTTTCCCCTTTTCAAGCTGGACAAGCTGTATTTGGCATGTTAACAAGCAGAAAGATAGCAGCACTCCACGCATTTCTCTCTTCAGGCTAATTCGAAAACGTTTCTTCTTCTATGTATTTATTGCACCAAATCCACCGTGACGGGATATTTTATAGGATCATGGAGTAATAACCGTGCCAGAGCTTTCTCCTGTTGAGTTTG